GACTATAACAGATATGGCCCTGCCACCCAGGGAAAAAATTACAAGTCTACACAGATCTTAGAGCTAACCAGACTGTTTCCCTTGAAGTTTGTAACAATATCCATCCATAATGGTAAAAAACAACAGCTCCGCCTGAAGCTTGCCACTGGCCGCTCTTTTTACCTTCAGCTGTGTCCCCCTTCTAATACAAAAGATCTTTTTGTTTATTGGGAAAACCTTGTTTACATTTTGAGACCACCAGTAGAGGCTTACAGTGGTTCCCAGGCCATCCCAGTTGGAGACACACTGGACATAAGTGGGTTTGAAGAGGAGGACAAGAGCCCAGCGGTAAGTCTTCACAGAGACTCTAAAAGATGGGGCCAGGGTGCTGTGGGAGAACAGCTAAAAGTCCTGCAGAGCCTTTGGTACCGAGGCTCACCTAGAAAATTCATTACATTTGAATGGGTTCAAGGCCAAAAGAGCCTCCATTTGGAGGTCATGTCACACTGGGGAGGTTCTAGGTGTTCCAAAGTGTTCCCCAATGCTGTATTTCAGAGCTTCCTCAGCTGTCAGCAACTCTTATTTTCATGTCCAATATTGTATTGCGATCTGTGGCATCCTGACACTTCCTCCCCCCACGTCTCCCCATGATCACCATGTACTGATTTTGTATAGATCGTTGGCAGAGGGCTGTGCTTGTGAGCACTGTTAGTAGCTACCAGAATATTAAAGTGCATGCCACTTAGCCAGCAGAAATACTAACGTAAGTGTATAAAAAAAAGTATATGAGGATATTTGCTGGTGAATTACAATAATGTTCTAGCAGATACTGAAGAGGAGGATTCCTGCAACAAATGGGAGATTGGACTTGAGAACTCAAAATTATTATAAGCTCTTATTGCTTAGCTATATGAATAAAAGGTCTCACCTTATTTCACTTGTTTGTCTCTCCCATAGGCAAGTGTCATTCATTTCTTTGGAAGGGATCAAGATCAAGTTGACATCAGGAGTCTTCACATGAACCCTGAATTGTTTGGGGCCACCTCTTATGGTTATGCTAGGGAGGAATGAATTCATCATGCACCCCACACATAGTGCTTTCAAGAGTTCACACACTTCTGCAGTCACAAAGCCTACAGTATCAGATAAAAGGGCAGGGATGGTGACAGGAGCAGCCTTCACAGATCCAGAAGAAGCACAGCTAGAATGGCCATAGTGGGAGCATTCGACATGTCTTACATTGTTGTTAGCAAGGGCTGCAAGCCCTTCTTCTACTCAGAGGTTATTTCCAGCACATCAGTAGGAGTTACTGGCCTCTTCCCAGAGGGCAGCATAAATATGGTGATTCCAAGAGCAGAAACTACTGGCAAGCCCACTGCAAAAACAGCTAACAGCTCAGTATTGGGACCCCTCATTACAGCCTTGCAGAGTGAAGCCTACATGAGTGACCAGGACGGAAGCCAGAGGTCTCCACCCAGCAGGACTGACTTTTTAGGAAAGAGTTTCAGAGCCCTGTACTGCACATGGTGCAGAGGTGGGTATCTCGTATAGGACTGTGGAGGAAAGCAATATCATCCACCCTAATACAATTCGACTCAAATTCTCTGCTCTAATAACATATGCTCTATTAACAGGGAAGGGTAGCAATAAAAACAAATGGCAATTTCTGATCAGGCTCTGACCTATCTTTAACTTTCCCTTAACTTGATATTTGTGATTCAATGCACAGATGACAGAATAAAATGCTAAAGATTACTCTCGAAGACCCTCATCCATTTTTCATCTACATGTATTAACCAAAAAAAATTCTAAAATCCCCAAAATATATAACCAGGGACAGAAGCAAATGGTAAAAATTATTTATTATAAAAATATTATTGTCAGGAATGTTGAAAAACTAATTATACTTTCTAGAAAGGGCTTCATTTCCCCAGTCTCTCTGTTCTTGTTTTTTACCCAACTTAAATATTATTTAACTGCTTTGGAATTATACTAAAGTACCCAACATATTCTATAAATCTTAATTTTAATTCTCTGATGTTATTTAAATTCTAAATTTCTTTGTGAAAATTTAGAATTCTAAATAACATCTCATCACAATGGAAGAATAAAATGCATATTAAAACTAGAAAAACAGAACAATTGGCTAAAACTTGAATATAGGATCAATTCAAAATCTAGACAAAAACTAGAGATTAGCTAATCTTAGAAGAAGTGTAAGATCTACAGGATCAACCAGTGTTCTAATTTTGCAAGTAAAAAATCTAAGATTCTAAAAGTAATACATCACATAGTTTTAATTAAGTCTGCATTTCCATAATCCTCATGTTTCTGAAGCCTAGCACTATGCTTTGAATATAGAAGATATTTGATACATGTGTGCTGATTCCAATTAAATTAAGGGTTATAAATGTGAAATAAATGTATTTTATTTGAATCCAACAAATCTGAGTATACAGAAATTTGCATAGCACTATTCTAATTCCACTGATCCCAAAGGCTCCTATACCAAACTGTAAGGTAGTGGTTGTTCATGAGACCTTATATACACAGTGGTTGGCTTAATGATTTTTATTTCAGGTCTAAAAAAAAAAACTTCAAAATAAAATCCTGTTATTCATGAAATTTTAAGAAAACTTTTATTTTGAAGCTGGCCCAGAAAGTCCTGAGTTCAAAGCTATTGCAAGTTGTAGGACAAATTTACACTTGATATGATGTCTCCAATGTCACAACAAATGTATTAAATTTTATTCTAGATACACAGACATATGTTAAAGGAGAGTCCATCAGCAAATTGAAAATATTAGTAGAAGTCCAGATAAGAATATTAATAAAAGAATTCTACTCTTCATTCATTACATTAAATAGAGTAAAAAAAAAAAAAGGATACTACATCTCAAGTAAATTTATAGATGTAATGCAGTAACAATTAAAATCCCAATAAGGATACTTTTATAAAATATAAATTTTTAACAGCAGGCAATCATGTCAGCCAATTAATGCAATCATGATTTCTCCTGCATTATATGTAAAATATCAAAATTGAGTCATGTAGTTTTAAAAACAGGACAACAGAAATAAGAGATTCAGAGGAAAATCCAAGCCAAACAGGATGCAATATAATGAGAGAAATGGGAATTATCTCTAGATGAGGTGAATTAAACAAACAAAAAAAAGGTGAAGTTTAAAGAAATTGATAGTTTAAAAAACTACAGAAAATACACTCACATATACAAATTAAGGGGGAAAGCTGCAGACTGGGAAACATTTTGTGGTAAATGTAACTACTAAAATATTATTACGTGCCAATCTTCACAGGAAAATGACCAAAGAAAAATATCTAGTATTAAAAAATTATAAACCAAAATCAAGTTACTACCAAGCCTACTACCAAGCCTAATAAAATGAAAAAAATAAATGTTTAGGAAGGTGATAGAGAAGCAAATTATAGTCATATATTATTGATGGCTAAGAGCCCTAGGACTTTATCTTATGAAACAAGTAAAATAGATAAAAGCAAAATAGATAACAGCATTCAATTACTAGTAAATTGTTGAGCAGATGAGGTTATAGTAATAAAATAAAATCTATGTTTCTTTCATTCGTTTCTATTTCCTTACAGATATGAGGTAAAACTCTTTAAGTGAGGAAACGAAACAGCCAAATATACACATTTGTTCATTGTTCCACTCAACTACTACTTACTACTGACAATATACGAGGAACTACATTGGTCTTAGAAATAGATGTAATATAATATATAGTCTCTACCTTTATGGAACTCATGGTCCAGTATATATTGATAACAATTCTGTAATGATTAGGATAGTGTCTTAAAGTCCTAAAAATAGTTCATGTTAAGGTGAAGAGATTTTTTAAGTACTATATGCTGGTTTGATTTTCTCTACAATAAATTAATATTGGAATCTGAGTGGCTATGACTAGCTTGTGACATAAGACATTAAAAATGTGATTTTTTTCTTAGACATAATTGCTTCATACTTGAGGCAAAACAGAAAATAATATTTTTGAGATGTAACACTATTCTATTTTTTTTTTTAAGATTTTTTATTTATTTGAGAGAGAATGAGACAGAGAGAGAGCGCACGAGATGGGGGAGGGTCAGAGGGAGAAGCAGACTCCCTGCTGAGCAGGGAGCCCGATGCGGGACTCGATCCAGGGACTCCAGGATCATGACCTGAGCCGAAGGCAGTCGCTTAACCAACTGAACCACCCAGGCGCCCTAACACTATTCTAGACAATTACCGCAAATTATTTTCTGTCCAAGACTATTTTTCCACTAAGTAGTTACACATACATATCTTTGCCATTACATTGTTTTTTGTATTAAGTGTTTTTTTCATATTTTCATTTTGGCTTCAAATTTCCTAGCTCTGGATAATTTTACTTATTTCTGAAACTCCTCCATAAGCTTGTCGTCCAAAATACACAACAGCAATTTGAAGGTAATGCAATAGAATAAAATTGACTTAACAAATAATGAGATGGTTTCAAAACTATAGTCAATATTTTAGAGTTTTGGTCTCATTTTTGGATTGTCCTACATAATTTTCAATGGTGAACATTATTCTACAATGTTCCATTGTGTTAAAAAATAAAAAAAAAATCAGTGACAATGCTTTTAAGGAGCCCTTGTGTGTTTCCTTGTAAATCATTTTCTATTATTTTATTATAAATTGTAATTTAATTTGAAAGAGCACTCTTTAAATGAACTATTTCTAGATCATAAATATTAAAAATCTCAAAACCAACTCAATTTTTCAGGAACTAGCATTATGATCAAAATAACACAACTACATAAAATGATGCAAAGTATATGTTTGCATATACACACATGTACAGCAAGTTAGATGAACATTTTACTGACCTTTAACTGAAGAAAAATTACAAAATGAGTAAGATATTAATTGGATTTTCAGGAAGAGAGAAAAAATATTTCCTTAAAAACATAGGCAAGTATTTTTATGTTTTATTGTATTTTAAGAAAAGCAAACTGTTACCTGTGCAAGAATGGGGAAGCCAAGGTTCCTACATCCATTACAAGGAGTTAATGCTTCCCAGAGTCCTGAAGGCCCACAAGTGTTTTCATCATCTTCTTCTTCTTCCACTTCTCCTGGTGACAAATTTATTGTAGATGAAGTTCTCTGAAATTAAATTTATATTATACCAATATATTATATCAATGTTATTCAGATATCTTAACATCAATTAAATTATATTATTTTCTTACACTGTATGTTAGCAAGCAAAATCAGCTTAATATTCACCCTAGTTCTGTGGCTGTGGCATGGGACTAAGACAAAAAACTTGTATAATTCAATTTAAGTTGAATGTTTAAAAAAATTGAAAGTGAAAAAACTGGGTGAGAAAGACTATTAGGATACAAAGTTCATAATGAAAAATAGACATGAAAATGACCTAAGAAAATATCTCAGTAGCAACAAATTAGAGAAATCTTATCATTTCTAAATGCAGTCAGAGGAATAGCAAGAAAATACTTTATTGAAATAGGAATTGCTAAAAAGCACATTTTTTCACAATGTCTCCTTTTCAAAAAAATGAACTTCATAAAATTTTATATTATACTTATACGTGTAACAGGGGTAATACTTTTAAGATTAACAATGGGACTTCCATGTTGAACCTGCATATTTACTTTTGCTACTTGCCAAATCCCATTAAAATGAAAACGGATTTGTAAAAATGGTCTAACGTGCATAAGGACAAGGACAACAGAAGAGAGGTTAACAGACGAGCAACAACAAGAAAATTTTAAGATAATGGTAAACAAATGGATAAACAGATTAGCATATGAAAGAAAATTTTAAGATACTGATAAACAAACGGGTAGGTATTGCCTGATCTAGCAAACTTGAGAAAACTGAAAACAAAATGTCTATAAGGGGGAAGAATAAGCAGCATGTCTCTTTATGACTCAGCACCATCAAAAGGCCTTAAGAATCATAGAGACTGACTACCCATGAAGATATATGTGCAGGTGGAGCTGCAACAGGATAGAAACTATATTTGGAAGAGTTAGACCCTTAGGCCCATGTTCTCAACTACCCAAGAAACTAAACCTTCACCTCTGACAAAAAATGGGAGGTTTATTTTCTGGTGGGATTGAAACAAAGGGATTATAGAAATTAATTGATATCTGGTAGTTGTAGATTCCCAACCTGCCCCAGTGCCTGCCCACATTTGCCCTAGAGAACATGGCAGCTAGGTTTATATCCCCCAGGTAGGAGATGAGAATATATTCCCCTCTGCAGAAATTGACCTCCCAAGAAAAAAAGATCTATAAGTACCTAGTAAAATTATGGGGGCCTATGCCTTAACTCTTACTGTAAAGCCCACCTCTCATAAAATCTCCACCCAGATAAAGTTTTAGGTAAATATGAACAAGAATCCAAGCATCACCACACATTTGAAGGAAGCCTTTAACAGAGACCAAAATAAATATACAGAAAAAAGTTATAGATAATATCCACAAAGAAATAGATGATATTTGCATCCATGAAACAAGAACAGAATGCTATAAAACAAATACCTAAAACCCAATAGAGGTGGAAAATAAGTCTTAGGAAATTTCCCAGAAGACAGAACAAAAGATGAGGAGAAATTAAAAGTTAAGAAATCGGGGATCAAATTAAGAGGTCCATGTAGAGACAGGAGGAAATCAAATGCAAGGAATTTTGCCAAAACTGATGAAAATTCCATATTCAAAGAGCATGATGAATGCTCAGTAAATTGATTTTTTTTTGTTTTAAAGAAAGGTAAAAGTCTTCAGAAGGTAGTGTTAGACACACACTGATAGATCATGATTATTGAAGTTAGTAAAAATACTCTATATATTAAATTATAAATGGTACCCTCTTGACCTCCCCAAAAATTGTGACTTTAAAATATAAGACTTTAGGGCGCCTGAGTGGCTCAGCCAGTTAAGCATTCATCTCTTGATTTCAGCTCAGGTCATGATCTCAGGGTCACGGGATCAAGCCCCATTCCAGGCTTCTTGCTCAGTGGGGAGTCTGCTGAAGATTCTCTCTCTCCCTCTCCTTCTGCTCCTCCCCCGTCCCCGTGCTCGTGCTCTCTATCTCTAAAATAAATAAATCTTTTAAAAAAAATAAAATATAAGACTTTGTTTTTCTACATTCACATCTTAAATTTCCCTTCATCAATTTTCAAAAACTGAGAAGTCATAAACTTAAAAAGCCCCATAAGCAGTTACAGCCTGTAAGATACAATAATAATAATAGCTATAATCTATTGAGCATTTACTATGTGACACTGTAGTGTCATAGGATTCTTATTCATTACTTTAATTCACACAAACTAAGGCACAGAGAGGTCAAGTAAAACCAAGGTCATAGAGCTGGTAAGTGGCAGAAAAAGGATTCCAATCCAGACTGCCTGACTCTAAAGCTGACCCCCTTGACCACTCTGTTACATGGCTTCTCATTCAAAACAATATCCTGTAAAAGGTAATATATTGAATAACCGAGCTGATATAATTGCAGTTTAAATTAAAAAAAAGTGTATTTGTTAATATATTTCTGCTACATGATGACACTCCCGAAAGCAATTTGCTATCTGTGACAACTAATATGTCTGTAATTTTGTACATAGCTGCCCATTCTTTCATAAAAACACATTTCTCAAATCAGTAATAAATCAGATGATTATCACAGGGATTTTTCATCCTACAGACATCCTGGTGAGAAAATCTTGGGGCATCTAAAACTTTAATCTAGCAAGAGTATCTATGTGTATGATCAATGCTGTCTACAAAATAGAATAAAATAACCAAATATGCATCTCCTTCACCAACTCATGATCAGTTGTTGGTTGACCATCAATGTTGACATGGCATGACACCATAAATCATTACATACTTGGTAAGAATTATCAACATCTCACAGATTAATCAGTTCTTTTGTACTTATGTTAATGGTACTACAATTATTTGATCCGATCTTACAGGAAATTCCTCTTTCTTCTCTCCAGAGAAAAACCCTGTTTATGTCTCTTCGTTGCTCATAAATCTCATAAATTATTTCCCATTGTACAGTAAATAATATCCAAATTCCTCAAGGTTCTATGGTCAAACTATATGTCAACACTTTTACTTCCTCTACTATACTCCTCCAGACTATAACCAAGTGGAATTGTTTACCCTTCCTTAATAATGTTCAATGCATTTATTTATGCCTTCCATCTTACTTCTCCATGCAGCATATTGTACTGGTTAAGAGTTTAAGCTTGCCTACTTATTAGCCTACTTATTAACATGATTTTTGTCAGATATTACATATTGGACAAATATAACCATTGTCAGCCTCACTTGCCTTATCTACTCAATGGGAAATAATATAGTAGAACCTCCCTCAGAATTTTTTTCCTGATAATTAAATAAGGTAATGAATATAAAGTGCCTGGCACATAATAAGATTTCAATACAGATTAACTACCATTTTAGCTATTATTCTCTTATGATCCCACTGATTTCCTGAAAATACAGTTCAGATTTCTTCTTTCCAGATTTCCCACAAACAGAAATGATATGGCTCTCTTCTAAACGTCTATAGCTCTTTGTGTGGGTTTGTGTATTATGATATTTCACATATACCTTGAGATGATAGATGGCATCGTGGCAAAGAGAAGTAGCTGTGAAGTTAAATAGATACACATTTAAATCGCATCTCTGCCATTTCCAAGCTGTGTTACTTTGAGCAAATCACATAATCTTATTAATCCTAGTTTCCTTATCTGAAAAGTAGGTAAAATAATAATTCTATTTGCTAGGGCTATATGAGGATAAAATTAATTGCGTGACAGTGACTGGCACGTAAAAAATAATGAATACATACTGGTATTTTTATTATTATCTTTATCCTGAAAGAGCTGTATACACATACACACACAAAACACAACTTATTTATCGCAGTTAATTGTAAGTTATTTGAAAGCAAACGTTGCCTTATTCACATTTGTATCTCTTACAATGTGTATGCATAATAGAATTTAACAATTATTTATTGAATGAATTATCAATGAATCTCAAACTCTCATTTTCATTTAACTACCTAGAAAATTTTACTAATATTAAGAGGTATATATAATTGCATCGCAAATCTCATTATAGTTATTTTAGTTTTACTTTATACTAACCATTACTAGGAACATTAGCAGAAATAACAAGATTTATCAGTGGTTTAGTACTGCCCCCTAAAGACAGTATATAAATTAGCTGCGTAAAAAAACAATTTTCCACTTGCTGCTTTACAACTAAAAATGCCTGGGAAAGATTTTTATCAAACTAAATATAATCTTCAATTATTTATGAAAAGAAAGCCACATGAACACACTTAAACTTGGAGTTTCCTTTATTCCAAACGTGTTTGAAACTTTTTATTGGAGACCCAACTGTGTTCCTAAAGTTCCAGAAATTCTTCCATAGAATATAGACCGAAATTGTCATGGTTTGAGCCTATTATCTTTCTTGGTTAATACATAGTAATTATGTGGATGAAAGATTGGACCAGTTTTACACTGTCACAAAGGACTAAATCCTAAGATCATAAATACCATGGGGAGACAAATTTGAGCTCAAAGAAAAATACTTCTAAAATAATTACATCAGTCTAGCATTAAAGAAATGTGATTTCCTTGTGAGGTGATATATATATGTAGATACATCTATATCTATCTATCTATCTATCTATCTATCTATCTATCTATCTATCTATCTATCTATCCAGGTATCTCCTCATATTTTTCATCATGGCATAAACATGATAATGTAATAAATATCTATAATGGTGCTTTATAGCTTAAAAAAATGATGGAAATTTTTGTATTTAGTTGGAGGATCTATGAAGTATATCATCTGTGTGGCCTGAAGCGAGGTGTTTTTTAACCTTTAATCCGAAATCAGTAATGTTGCATCTTGACAAATACTGAGTGTCCCAGTGGCCTTTTTTAAACTGGTGTGTGTCCTTCTCCTTTTCAGCGTTCCCCAGTAAGCAAAAAAAATGAGCATTGTGCTGCTTTCATTTTTAGAATTACAGGCTAGAAATGTGTGTCCAGTTTTTAAGGCAGTTTAAAATTGTGTTTTCCAGGGAAGGACAAGTCTGACCATTTA